TTGGATGGACACACGTATAAATAACTGAGGAGGGTCTTGGTTCCAACTTTATCGTTCATCCTCTCATAGGTGGATCCGTAGTCAGTCGATCTGAAACGAACAAACAGAGAAGGAAGATTTGAGGGCAGAAGAAGAAATGACTGTCGACAAGAATCAGAAGCAGCATTTCAGCAAATCTAACGGGTAAACAAACAGACTAAAGATTACTGGGATGTTGCACTGATGAGAACTGATGCAACATCATCCCACAGCAGCAGAACCAGCAGACTAAATGCTGCTTTCGGTTCTGCTGCACCAACTCTGAGTAGATCTGTGGCGGTGAAACAAGAGAGGGTTAAACCAATCATCCCTGCTCCCTCTGAAAATGAACATTCAGAATCCTCTGGAGACCTGACACCGTAAATAATTCATTCTTTCCTGATGACTACTATGAAATAAAATATGACGAGAGCAAAAAACATGTGGATGTTCCCGAACCCTGGGCTTTAATAATTGAACAGTGGGAATGAGCCTGTTAGCTAGCTGGGTCCCTGGAAACTCCACATGAATTCATCATCAGTAACGACCAAATCTGCTTCAAGTCCCGCATTACAGCATCTCCACACCCGCGTGCCGACTTTTCCTTTTTAAGGAGCAGGACTCGTCTCCGAAGCACAGAAACACCCACCCACAGCTGTGCAGCACCTCCCTCTGGACCGACCTCACATTTATGAGCAGGACGCCGAGATGATCCCATTCTTTTAGTTTTAGTTGAAACCCTGCTGCTGGTGCTCCTTCAGAGGAAATGCTAACAAGGAGTCGCTCATTCTGATTCAGCCTCAGAGAGGCACACTCGCTGCTGTGATTACAAAGCATCGAGAAACAGAATCGCTTCCACGAGGCGGAGGTGAGGTACACGGATCTGGATGTCTAGTTTCTCTGATTTCAAGAAGAAGGATCATGTGTTTGCCTCACTTCAGGCTTTCAACAGTTTAAAAGAGTTAGTTTTAATTTAATTCACTACAAAAAAGCCCCCAGAGTTGCTTCTGATCAAAACATCTGCAGTTTTATCAATTAGACTCAAATCAATCACACTCAGTTATTGTTGCAGCCTCTGAACAGCTGGTGTTGATGTTTGTGAAGATGTGTGCACATGTGTGACTGTTAGTAAAATGACTTAAAACCACTAAACTGATTTTAGTGAAACTACTGGCCGAACAACTCATCAGCTTTTGGAGCCAACGCTATGATGGCGGCTAAAATCGCCCGAAAACACAAAAACGCTCAAACTCATAATAATAAACTAAGAGTGTGTGTGTGTGCGTGCGTGCGTGCGTGTGTGTGTGTGTGTGTGGTTTGGGGTCGTTAGCATGCCCCCGTGGAGGTTGTGACCACTGCAGTGCCTTGGAAATCTGTTCTGATTGCTGCGTTCCTGATCCGTTTGTGACCTGCCATGCAGCTGAGCAGGTGGTGCGCGTGCCTGCTAACGGGCTCTGATGACTCCACACAGGATGGGGATTTAGCAGAAAAACAGAACAAACAGTCTTCCTACAAGAGAGAATCAAAAGATTCAGAAGATGCTCGTGAGACAACCCCAGCCTGCATCCAGCAGCCGTGAGCAGGTACCACCCAACCTTTAAAGGTGCGACAGGAAAACATCGTATTTATATTTGCGGTAAATTGGGTTTAAAGTTTTCATGCCACCTCGATTAATGCCAGTCAATCTCTACGGTTCGCCAACACAATTAAAAGCTGCAGAATTAAATTAAGATCAACTTAAAGTCTTAGTTCAGCTCAGAGTGTTTTTCTAGCCAAATTCAGCCTGACCTTGTCCTCTAATCGCGTTAAGTCTTCAGAGACTGACAAGTTCAATTTGACCTGAGCTACACCCTCACAGGGATTATCCATATTCTGTAGAGCGCTGCCGTGTCTTCAATAAAACCAGATTAGATGTCTTACTGTCTGAAGACGGTTCTGGCCTGTAGCCTAAACACAGGATGATGGAGAACAAGAATGTAGACGTATAGAAATGATCTTCTGTGGAGGATGGCCCTGAGCTTTTCCTAAGGGATCGGATGAGAAGCTCCGTAATCCAGGAAAGCTCAGAGTAGAGCAAGGCTCAGAGTAGAGCTGCTTCTCCTCATGGAAATGAGTCAGCAGAGGTGGTTTGAGTGTTTGATGAAGATCTCTCCAGGCTCACCTTCCTCTGGAGGTTTTTCTGAGCAGTGGGATGATGTTGACTTCCTCGATCTGTTTCCTCCAGAAACTAACTGCTCAATGGATGGATGGAAGGATGAAAGATGGATGGATGGATGGATGGATGGATGGATGGATGGATGGATGGATGGATGGATGGATGGATGAAAGATGGATGGATGGATGGATGGATGGATGGATGGATGGAAGATGGAAGGATGAAAGATGGATCAAATGATGGATGGAAGGTTGAAGGATGGAATGAGGATGGATGGATGGATGGATGGATGGATGGATGGATGGATGGAAGATGGAAGGATGAAAGATGGATGGGTGGAAGGATGAAAGATGGATGGGTGAAAGGATGAAAGATGGATGGATGGATGGATGGATGGATGGATGGAAGAATGAAGGATGGATGAAAGGATGAAATGATGAAGGATGGAATGAGGATGGATGGATGGATGGATGGATGAATGGATGGATGGATGGATGGATGGATGGAAGAATGAAGGATGGATGGATGAAAGGATGAAGGATGAAATATAGAAGAATGAAGGATGGATGGATGGATGGATTGGATGAAAGGATGAAGGATGGAATGAGGATGGATGGATGGATGGATGATGATGGATGGATGAAATGAGGATGGATGGAATGAGGATGGATGGATGGATGGATGGATGGATGGATGATGGATGGATGGATGGATGATGGATGGATGGATGGATGATGGATGGATGGATGGATGAAGATGGATGGATGGATGGATGGATGATGGATGGATGGATGGAAGATGGAAGGATGAAAGATGGATCAAATGATGGATGGAAGGTTGAAGGATGGAATGAGGATGGATGGATGGATGGATGGATGGATGGATGGATGGATGGATGGAAGATGGAAGGATGAAAGATGGATGGGTGGAAGGATGAAAGATGGATGGGTGAAAGGATGAAAGATGGATGGATGGATGGATGGATGGATGGATGGAAGAATGAAGGATGGATGAAAGGATGAAATGATGAAGGATGGAATGAGGATGGATGGATGGATGGATGGATGAATGGATGGATGGATGGATGGATGGATGGAAGAATGAAGGATGGATGGATGAAAGGATGAAGGATGAAATATAGAAGAATGAAGGATGGATGGATGGATGGATGGATGAAAGGATGAAGGATGGAATGAGGATGGATGGATGGATGGATGGATGAAATGATGAAGGATGGAATGAGGATGGATGGATGGATGGATGGATGAAATGATGAAGGATGGAATGAGGATGGATGGATGGATGGATGGATGAAATGATGAAGGATGGAATGAGGATGGATGGATGGATGGATGGATGGATGGATGAAATGATGAAGGATGGAATGAGGATGGATGGATGGATGGATGGATGAAATGATGAAGGATGGAATGAGGATGGATGGATGGATGGATGGATGAATGATGAAGGATGGAATGAGGATGGATGGATGGATGGATGGATGGATGGATGGATGGATGAATGGATGGATGGATGGATGGATGGATGGATGGATGGATGAAATGATGAAGGATGGAATGAGGATGGATGGATGGATGGATGGATGAAATGATGAAGGATGGAATGAGGATGGATGGATGGATGGATGGATGGATGGATGGATAAAAAGACGATGGATGGCAGGTTGAAGGATGGATAAAAAGTTGGATGAAAAGTTGGATGAATAGATGGATGAGTGCTGGGTACAACGGAGGATGACATTCCCCAAAGAGTGTCCATAACGTCTCCAGATGTTCTCCAGGGTTCTGTGAGGAACACCAAGGTCGCTCCATCGCGGCGTGAGTTTGTGCTCGTGTAACATTCATGCTCCTCGTGTTTATCCACCAGAACTTTACACTGATTTGTTTCAACCATTAATTTCCTACTATCAACGTTTTCCTGGATCTTATTAACTTCTAGTTGTTTTGATCTCCGTGTGCAAAAGTCAGATTTGAATCCTCAGACAGGCTGAATAATAAACTCCAAACGGCTCTTAGCAAAATGTAGTTTGTCTTTATTTCTGCTTTTTAGTTTCGTTCCTGATCTAAAGGCTGATTTTGTGGCTCGTTGTGAGAGACAGACGCTCGGTACCTCCATAGCAATCGGCTCTAGAGGTGAAGGTGGTTCTGACTCAGAAGAAAACATCAGCATGTTTTTATGTCAGATTCCTCTTGGATCCGTGAAACACGCTTCACTCAGCTGAGACCAGAAAACATGCTCTTTCTCTTCAGCAGCAGTTTAAGTTAAACGAGGAAGAACATCAGGTGATGCAAGCCAAACAGCGAGTTTTTATTATTCTTTTTATTTCTTGTTATTCGTAAAGTGAAGCTCTTCCAAACGGAGATGTGGTACGGCGCTACGCGGTGAGCGAACATCAAATGATTGAAATAAAAGGCAGGCAGAAATTTCATTAGGGACTGTTGTGAGGTTTGCCAGATGGCTGCCAATAAAGCAGAACCATTCAGAGTAGTTCTACAACACTGCTGACCACGCTCCAGGGACAGAAAGAGAAAAACGTCATCCACTTCAAAGACTGAGACCTCAACCAAATCATTTTAGTTCCTCAGAGTAGTCCAAACAAAGCTCGTCAGCCCGCAGCTCCGAAGCAGAGACAGCTGAAGTCTGTAGCTGCAACAACAAAGGTCACCAATCGGATTTAGCTCATTTAAACCTCAGACTTCCGCTGAAGGAGAGATGCAACCGAAGCAGAGAACAGCTAATCAATATTCATCAGGGGTGTGGAGATGAAAGCATCGTCAGGTTGCTTTCAGAGTCCGGGCCAAGACAGAACAACTCACGAGTTTGTTTTCAGTCGCGTGCAGAGGAAGGAAATGATTTCTTAACAAATGGCCTCTAGCAAAATAAAGCCTGGGGGACG